AATCAGGAGTCAATGGCAGACTCAACATTGCCAGAATTCCATGTAGTCAGTGAGTTGGGCACAGGATTTCCTCCAAGAAAACAAGGAAGTTTAAAGAAAAGTAGATGTGGATGCCAGGAATGGGAGAAGCAAAGCAAGGGATGTCTACTACACATCCTTTCAAAACAGGAAGCAGACTGATGATCACACCAGAAATGGAATGGCCCCATGTCCTACAGATCCCAAGTGACTGACATACTCCTACCCCCTTGTTCCCGAGTCTCTGCTTCCTTCTCCACACACTCCCAGCCTCCCACGTAAACACAAACAAATGTGGTATAAAAACAAAACTCTTTGGACATTCTGGTTTGTGTGCATCTCTGGACAGTTTCCAAGGGAACGATGAAATCCACATATACTTCTTCCCAGTTGAAGGAATTCTCTAGACCTGCACTGACTACTTGCAGAAACCACCTGACATCAGTGGCTCTTGAGCACTTGAAATGTAGCTGTTCCAGATTAGAAATACCAGGTCTTAAATACTTACTACAAAAATGCAAAATACATTTACATTTAATACAAAGTGTATAAGAGCTTATCACTATTTTTTATTAATTAAAAGTTGAAATATTAATATTTTGGATATATTAGCTTAAATATATTATTAAAATTTATTTTACCCATTAATTTTTACTTTTAAAACCTTGGTTACCCAACACAAAAACAGAGAGTAAAATAATGGTTACAAGCAGCCAGGGGCTGAGGGTATAGGAGAGAGGTTATTTAGGGGTACATGCTTGCAACTAGCAGATACATATGTCCTGGAAATCTAGTGCAAAATATACAGAGACAAAAACATTGTATCATAATAATCAGACTTGCTAAGAGTCTGATTATAATTATTCCCACCACAAAAAAGAAATGATAATTATGTGACATAATAGAGATGTTAATTATCACTACAATTGCAATCATACTACAATACATAAATGTACCGAATCAACATCTTGTACATCTTAAACATTATATAATGTATGTCAAATAGATTTTTATTAAAATAAATAAATATGAAAAAATAAAATGTGATTACAATAATATTTAAAATTATAATTGTGATTTTCATTATATTTCTATTGGACAGTGCTGCTGTTGCGATTTCTATGAAAGTGTACCATTCATTTGGCGTTTCAGCTCTCAAACTGTGATTCCCTATGACCAGAAGCATCGGTATTACTTGGGGGGACCCTACAGATGCAGGATCTTTGGTTGCAGCCCTGCCCTGCCGTTTGTCTCTTAACAAGCCGTCCAGGCTTTTCATTCCATGGCTGCCTTGGCAAGACACAGAGCTGAAAGCACATTTCATTCATGCTTCTAAAACTGATGGGCTGGGAATACAGTTATTGAAAGTAGCAAAATCAACCTTCTTAAAGGATTGGGTTTACTAAACTGCTAAGTGATTTAAAATATTGATTTTCATGTATAAAATGATTTTTTTAAAAATAGATGTAAATATTGAAGCAAAGTCAAGCTGCTGTGCTCTGGAACATGGGGCAGGCTGGAGGGCAAATAAGATAGTAAGTGGTCTCCCATTGTGGTTTAAAAGGAAAGATTGAGGGGCTTGACCTTGTAAGTTAACATTTACTGAATTTTATTCTAAATGTTTGTTTCTAAATCTGCACCACCCTCTTTGTGGCAGGCATTATTATCAACTTCATTTTACAGATAAGGGAACTGGAGCAAGCAAGGTTCATCAGCTGGTGAAGGCCACACTGAAGCCAGAGCGAACCAGGCTCCAGAGCCCAGAGGTCTTAACCATTGTACTTATTCCCTTGCTCAGAGATCAGGTTGTATCTGAGCTAATCTGTACAAGTGGGTATTTCCCCACTAGTTATTCCTGGCTGCTGTTAGAATCACCTGTGGACACAAAAATGTATTGCTGCTTGGGCTCCACCAGCTAGAGATTCTAATTCCATTGATCTGAAGTGGGTCCTGGGGTGTTAAGAGGTCCCCTAGGACCTCAGAAACAACTTCCGTTTGACAGATGATGAAGATGAGGCTGGAAGATGCACAATGGGACAAGTCAGCAGTGGCTAAATTCAGGCTCTATGAATTAGGCCAGAGCTTCTCCAACTAGAGGCACACAGCTCTCCTGGATGGCCATTTTAAAGGTAGGTTCTGATTTCGAAGGGCTGGGTGTGGCCTGAGATTCTGTAGAATCCAGGTGAAGATGATGCTACTGGTCCAAGGACCAAGGACCACACTTTGATCTCTGAGTTGTGCTTTGTCCAGAGGCCCTACCCCATGTGACACTTTCTTGACTCCCTAGAGAGTGACAACTTTTCCAGCACCTGGGGAGGGGGTGCAGGAAGGTGTTGGGGTAATTTGCCCAGGTAGAGATTGGGGATTTCCTGAGATAACAGACCTGATCCCCCTTAACATCCTTCAAGGCCCAGCCAAGGATGAACGTCTTGAGCAGAGTCGTAGTTCCAGTTCTTGAGACCTGGAGGAAAAATTCAGGAAGCTGAAAGGAAAATAACTCACAGTTATGGCCCAAAAGCAGGAACCACAGTGACCCTACTTTCTCCAGTCTGCTGTCCTCTCACCTAAGGCGCAGCCTCGAGTTCTCTCCCTGGGCTACTCTCCCCCACCACGCTCAGCTGGGGTTCAGGTGCCAGGGCAGGGACAAGCTACTTCGCCCTCCCCAGGATCGCACGGTTTCCTTGGCTACGCTTGACGGTCGGACAGCCGGGATGCTAGCGTTTCAATGTGCGTTTTCCACCCACCCTTCTACAACAACCTTCACTGCTATTCGGACCCTCAACTCCAGTCTCCCTGACTTCTTCCAGTGTCCCCTGTCCGCGACGAGAATTGGACCTTAGACTCAGAATGGAGGCTTTTTTCTCCCCGCACAGCGGCTTTCACGTCCCACTCCAACCCAGGGCTCTTCCCGGGCACCGGGAGGCAGAGTCCTGTCCTCCGCGGCCTACCCCTAATGGCTGCCCTCCGCGACTTGCTCTGGGGGACACTGAGGCCCCAGGTTGAAGAGGAGGCGCGGCACCTAGATCCCCGGGGGTCTCCCGCCGAGCTCACAGCCCCGAGGTCGTCGGGGACCAGGGTGAAGACGTGCAGCGGTGACCGGAACAGAAAACGGGGAAGGGATAACTTCGCGTTCGTGGAGGTGGGGGTATTCGGGTCTTTATCTGGGATAGGTATACCGCACTGCCTCCACCTTTCCTACTCCTATCCCCAAACCAAAATTCAACGCGCAGAACCTCCCACGGCCAATGCACACCCCACCTCCCCGCCAGCCCAGGTTCCAGCCCATCAAGTCGGGAAATGAGGCGATCCATCAGCTGGCCCAAAGTGCCTGCCCGGGGCGTCCCCCATCTGTGCTCCTCCACAGAGTCACCCGGGAATAGAGCGCAGTGGCAGCCACCGAAACGCCTGACCTCCGGGTGCCAGGGGTCGGGCGCCTTCCTCTCGGTGGCTTTGGTGACCTGGACTTCAAGGCCTGTTTGATTTGAGTCGTGAGTCCAGAAGCTGTGGACTAGGCGGTGGCTACAACCTCTATAGACCCAGCTGTTTCGCTGACTAAAAGACCGGGGTGGGAGTCCGGCCCCCAGAGAATTGTAGACACAAAGAACCTCGTGGGGGAAATACAGGCTTGGGCCTCGAGCGGCACACTTGGGTGCCACTGGAGCTGCTGCGCGACGGCACCTCTGGCAGACAGACCCGGGGAGGCGGTGTTCTGGGGGATCTCACAGGCACGGGCAAGACTGGGACCCCTCCAAATTTGCTTTTGAATTAAAAGTAACTATGGTGTCGCCAAAGAAAAATATCCGAATGTCGAGTTTTCATTTCCTTATTTTGAGATTTAGTGTCTTTATTTTGAAGAGAATATCGGAAGGTCTCCACGGTGTTTTCGGGTATGGGGCCTCGCAGAGTTCTTAGCTGACCCTGTCCCGGGGAGAATCGGAAAAAAGTGGTAACAGGCCACTCGCTGCCAGACTAGGGATGCACCCCAGGCGGACTCCGCGGAAGGGGCGGCGGTGTGCAGCAGGAGCCCTGGCTCAGCCTCTGTGGACCGAGACCTGCTGCTGAGAGGTGGGTCTCTAGTTTGTTGCTGGAGACCCCCATTAAGGTAGAAGATTGGGTTTTTCTTCCAGTTGCAGTTTAGAGTAGGTAGACAACGCCCTCCCTCCAGCCTCCCACCCCCCCACCCCCCAGATTTAAAACCAAAACAAAACCCAAACCTCCCAGCCTTGAGCCTCTTGCAGGCCAGAAAGCTCGGATTGGTTTCCGTCCCACTTCTCCTCTCTGCCAGAGTTTCCCTTGGTGACCAGGGACCTTACTATATATAGGGGCCCCTAGAGTCAGTTCACCCTCTCACCTTCGGTTCCCAGCCCCGCCTGCAGAGGCCACTTCCTCCCCGCAGCGCAAAAGGAGCTGTGCGCGCGCCTCTGAGCGTCCGGGGACTCAGCCTCGGTAGAATCTTTTCTGGGTTTGGAAAATTTCTCGCCGGTCCCGGAACTGACCCACCCGAGGCGAGGATCCCCGCGCGGCACTGGGCCTGGAGCACAGCATCCTCCCTACTTTGGCACTTCAAACGGGGCCGCTGGAGCACTTAAAGGGCATTTCCCTCCCGTGCGAACACAGCACTGGCGGTTTAGAAAGGAAAGAAGGAGAGCGGAGGAGAGAAGCCAAGTCTCTGTAGCCGGGTCTCCTCCCTCTGCTCTGTTTTCAGAGCTCCCTACATCTCCCATTCCCGCTTCTCAATTCTGCGGACTTTTCTTAGGGTGGGGGAGGGACCAGAAAGGCGGGAGGTTGGGAAAGCGCGGGGATCTCATTGCCCACCCTCCCCTCCCCAAAGATGGATTTGCTTCGACCTTCGGGGTGTGAGAACTCCAATGATAGTTTCTGCCAGGAACTTTCTTCCTCATTTTAATGGGCCTCAAAAGCCCCTGTCGCCGTGGCCGGAACTTGCTGAACCCGCAGGAAATGATCCCGTCTCCCGACTTTGAAGCCGGTGTGGACCTCGTCTTTGCAACTGGGCAAGGGCATTCTCTCCCACTTCTACACGGGGAGCAGCTGAGCAAATGTGTCAGGGAGACCACCCTGTGTGCCAGGCACTGACCGGCAGCTTCCTCAGCTTCCGGCAGCTGAGGTCGTCTCTAACTCAGGGTGCGGGCAGCTAGGAGCCCGCAGCAGCACGCAGCTCCCTTCGCTCACGTGGAAAGAAGCTTTTACCGCTGGAGTCTGCAACCAGAGCGCCCGCAAAGCTCCAGGTCCTGGGCAGTCAGGCCTACCTGCCAAGGTGCCACCCAAGGTAACGCCGTCGGCCACAGTGTGTGTGTCCCGACCAGCTCATACTTCTTGTACGTTAAGATACTACACTTTAATGGTGGAATCCCCAGCATTATTTTTTTCTAAAGGAATTGCTCTGATCACTTCCCAACTAAAGTGATTGCTAGTAAAGTGATTGCTAAATTGACATTTAGTCCTGGAGGGATCTTTTAGAAAAGGCATGTTGAAGCCACTCCTCCCAGAAGTTGTCGCTAGTGGAGTAATAAAGTCGTAACTAATGTATTGATTCCTGGGTTACCATTCCAGTCGCCTTTCCAGTACTGAAAGTGGACTCTTTCACTTTTCCTGTTCTCCGGTGCCAGGGCACCTTGCAATATTTTCACAACAGTCATAGAAACAAACTAAACTTAGGACATCAGAAGAACCTGGGAAGACAGAGAGGGAGGAGAGGGAGGATTGAATGTGGGAGGTGAGTGGTGGGTAGGGCAGAAGAGAGTAATAGGGGGAAAATTGGGACAACAAATTGAACAATAAAAACTAAAAAAAAAAAAAAAAAGAACACCCTGGGGCATTTCAGGACTCCAGCTGTGCATTAACCAAGCTTCCTCTGAAAGGAAAGACACTGGCCACCCCACTCTCACCCTCTCCCAAGGGTAATTAATGCTGATTTTCCTCACTTCCAACACACCTTCAAGTGAATATGCAGATAACTTCAAATAGACAATTAAAAGAGCAGTTAACTGGGGACTAAGAATCTCTGTCACACATCATAAAAAGGTTTTAAGGCATTTCATTATCTCAGAATTCAGGTAGCAAACTATTGTAAATGAACCAGACTCCTTTACCTTAGGTAGTTATTTCTTAGAGAAAATACTTCTTTAATTTTTTTTTTTTTTTGCTTCTTGATTTGGCTGTTTTCTTTTTATAGAAAGGTCTTCTGCTCTGAGTCAAGATTTTCCTCACTGCTAGGAAAGCAAAGAAGATGGTACTCCATACCCTAAAAATTTACACATTGAAGCTAGTGCTAACTAACAGAACAGGAAACTAATACCTAGTTGGGGAAAGACAAATAATTATTTACTATTGACCTTTTCAGGAATGATGACCTGGCCTCACCATCTGCTTATTCAGGGTTTGTTACATGGACCTTATGCCCTGCATTCCAGCATGTGAAGGCATTTATTCTAAATATTCTAAAATTTATTCTACAATCAAAGAACATTTTCTAAGAATTTAGCATAAACACACTTTGCCAGTGAAAGGGCTCTTTTCTGGTACCTTGTCTCCTCTGCCCATTACCCTCATTGCAGAAACAACTCTTTTGTTTCCTTAAAGTGGATGCAGAAGAAGCCGGTGAAATGACAGGATATGGGGTATTTCATCAACAACGTATGGGCTGAGTGCATTGGAGGCCCAAACTCAGTTTTTTTATTCTTTCCAAATATTTAGCATTTTGCAGTCAGATTTCTGATTCTTTTCAAATATCTCAGACTTTGGCAATTTCTGCACAAGATATTACTGTGTACACATTATTTTTTTGGTTCCTACCCCAAAAGGGTTGCTAGCCTAGAAAGAATTTTAAAGGTATTCAAAGGCAGTGATTAAATTAAATGAAATACTTGTTCAGTGATAATCTAAACACAAGAAAATGTTTTGCTAAGTAGTAATTTTAGCATAACAGCTGTGTACATCTTGTCCAGTATAGTTAAATCATCCTTGCTTCTGGTATCCATTCCTTCTCCCATATTCATTCATTCTCCCTCCCTCCCTCTCTCTCTCTCTCTCTCTCTCTCTCTCTCTCTCTCTCTCTCTCTGTCTGTGTGCATGTGTGCATGAGCGCGCATGCTTGCTGGGGATGGGGACAGCAGAGCCAGACTGCATTTTTACATTTCACCGTGGACTGAAATATCAACAAGCCAAATTTCAGTTGCAAACAAAACCTAGCTTTCCCCTTCTGAAGCCCACAAATGTTGTCTAATTAGCATTAGTTTCCTGGTTTTGTAATTTAGTTTCTCAATTCTACAAATACAAGTCAATTTCTTGTGTAATCAAGTAGAAAGAGACATACCTAACAACTTAAATATTTAATTTTATTTAGGATAATTTTGCATATGTCATTGCATATGCCATATGTGGGTAAACTATCAAATAAATGAGTTAAATAGGTGTTATGCAGTCTACAAAGAATTATGGGTTTGGGGGCCTAATTTCTTCTTTATTGAAAATTGATAAATATGAAAGGATAAAGAGTTGCATCTTTGTGCTGACTCTCCTATTTAACATATATTTCTTCCATCTGCATTGTCCTTCCTTGTCTTTCATGGCAGGACAATATGTCTACTTGTTTCAAGACCTACCTTCTCCAAGAGGCCTTTTTTGGTCAATTCCACCCCACCCTGGGATGGCTGTCTTACATTTTCTCTCCCTAAACATTTAAGTGTACATTGTGCTAGGCGACTCCACATCTTCATTTATCTTCATATTTTCTCCCATCCAAATTGAAGTTCTATACATGCAGGGACTTATTTCCCACTTATATAAAGTAGAATTCACCGAATGGTTTGAGATTCACAAAGGCTAATTCAGTAAGTAAATGCAAGAATTGAAGAGAATTCTTGAAGGCCTTAGAGGATCTGGAGGAGATTCCAAAGCCAGCGTGCTTGGTCACACTCACCCCTGACATTTTGTGTTGACCATCAGCAGCAATGATGACAGCTGACACAGCCAACACTCACATGGGTGTACCTGTCTATGTCAGATTCCCCTGCTTTCTCTCCTACTCCAGAGATGAAGAATGAAAACTGTGTTACTATTTTAACATATTATTTAATGGTAAGTTTTACTCCTTTATCACCTCTTTGGTAATTTTAAGTGACTGAAGTTTTTTTAAAAAAGGATTATTAGAAAGTTGTTTAATTGATGTAGGTGAAAGTTGTAGGTACAATGATTCAATTCTATTGGAATGTAAGAATCACTGAGGATAAAATGAATAAATTAATGGGCATTTGTAAGGTATATTTAAGATTAAACATCTAGAAGGTTATTAAGTTAATTTTGTTTTGAAGATTATCCTTCTAGGAAGAAAGGGTTAAATTTGCTTTCTTTTTTCTTTTAACTCTTTCAAGTACTCTCTTGTGTCAACAAAGCAATGTTTTATGTCAGATATGAAGGAAACCATTTTCAAAGGAACTGCCATCTGATTTATGAATTAACTACTGTTAGTTCATAATTTAATATTAATGACCAATGCTCCTTTCCATCTAATATTTTCTTTTTAAAGCAGATAATTATCAATTAATTCAATTGATCTTTTAACAACTTATAAAGTGAGGATATTTACAATAATGTTTCACAAGAGAAACTGTCATAATCTTTTACAGATGTCTCTTCTACTTGTATAATAGTATTTTTTTATCGTTGGGTTTCCAAAGCACTAAGCATAGTGAAAGTAGTAGGTTTTCAGTTAACATCGATGGCCTAAATTGATTTGCCTTTTGTTTTGAATGCTTTATATTCAATGGCTCACTTGGCCTATCAGCCATCCCCTGAGCTATTATACTTTTTTTTTAGTTGAGAAACACTAAAATCTGTGCAGTAATAAATAAATCCGTGCAGTAATCCTGAACTAAAATTGATTTATTTCTTTTCTCATTAAAATACTTGAGGAGAAGAGGGAGAGAGAATACATTTGGCTTTATTACACATATCTCATTGTTCTCTAGTTTTTACAGTACTACAGGAAAATAACAATTGCTAGCATGACCGATTGCTAATATGACATAAATTTTACAACTTCCACTCTCAATTGATAATAATTGACTTAATATTAATCACAATTTTACTTAATTCTTTTATATATGATCATATGTGTAAAGTTCTTGAGAAATGTTTAAATGAAATATCAAAATATAGAGATAAAAATGAAGATGTAAAAATATGTATCTAATCATCAATGGAGGAATAGGTTTAAAGAATAATTATATAGACACTTTGGAGTAAACATTCTGTCAAAACGTTACTATACTTAAAACAGCATTCTATACATCTCAGGAATGTGAATTAATGACAGAGATTGTAGATTCCATTTTGTTATTTGCTCACTGAATAAAGATGCTTATGGAAATAAAAATATGGTATATTTTGGAGTCAGAGTATTACATAAGAAAATAGGATGATCCCTACAAAGTTAAAGCATGTGATTTTTCTATTTTAATTTTAACTCACCATGTGACATGTAGGAAGGTTATTTAATTTTTCTGATCTGTAGTTTTGGGACATGTACCACCATAATAATGTATATCTTCCCTAGCCTGCCTTCTGAGGTTATAGGAGGATCAGATTTGACAACACACATGAAAATACTTTGTAATTTGCCCCTTAATATGACATTGTTTTATGACCTTTTATTACTGATTAGTCATAATAAAATTGTCTAAGAAGTAAAATATTTGGAGATCACTATAATTGATGAGGAAGGCATGTATGTTGCTGAAATAACTGTATTCTCATGGTTATTTACGTAGAAAAAAAAGTAAACTACCAAGAATGTAAATACAGGAATTAGCTAAGTAATATTTGCTTTTCAGCCCCACCAGAGGCTGAAGAGTAATATCAGTGTGTGTGCATGTGTGTGTTTACATAACTATGCAACATTACTGTTCTAAGAGACCCTAGATAACCCTCACAAACTTCAGGTTCATTTACATTGCTTTTGGCAGAATAATCACAGTATAATGAGTGAGGGTAAGTAGGTGACCCTAAAGTTCAGAGTCCTCATGCAACCGGAGAGCAGGGCTCACAGAAAGTAAGCCCAAATTGATATACTGCATTGACTGATGGCCTCCTTTGAGGAGGTGTCAATTTAACTTTGAACCCACGAGCTCATTGTGAGCAGGGAAGAGAAAGGGATGTCTCCCAATGCAGAAAACTGTTGCCATAGCATTTTCCTTCTCTATTCCTGCCTACTCCTCCACCCCCAAAAGCAGCAACAATTTGTGCTCTACCGTTTTCTTTAAGGAGCCAGATGCATTTTCAGAAGCCAGGACTCCAGTGATGAGATTGTGATATCTAAACTGCTCTTGGTAGGGATATCGAATAAGTCCATTAAGTTTCCCAGGACAGAATCATCTTTGTGGATTCAACTGCAGAACAGGGAACAGACTCAGGGAGAATTTTAGTCTCCCCCCCTCCCAATTTCATTGACCCTCTGCACAATCCAAGCCACAGTCGCTCCTGCAATACAACCTATTCCTTTCAGCACTCGTAGCCGTGGACAGCTCCCTCACCGCGCGGTCCATTCCTCTGCAGTGAGCAGACTCGTGTTCAGCCTGCATCTGTCGGTGCGGCACCGGACACCAAGTCCTCGCCAGCGCTCACAGAACACGCGCTCCCTACCTCCTCCCTCTGGGCGCCCCCGCCCCTCGCTCACCTCGGCTCACTCCAGGGGCGACTTTAAGGGATTCCCTCTCGGACGGCCTCTGCAGCAGCACATCTGGCCTCATTCACTGCACGGCAGGCATGGATCTCCGAGGAAGAGCCGTTCTCAGCTGGAACAGACTTGGAGTTCTCCTGATGCTGTTCCGTGAGTAAACGTTTCGGCGACCGCGAGGGCAGAGTGCACTCTGCAGAGAATAGAGCCGGCATAGTAAAGTCAGTAGCTTACATTCTGCAGGGGGTTCTTTTTTTTTTCTTTGGGGTGGGGGAGGGGACCGAGAGCCTTCCTGCTAGTAGCGAGGAATTCCCCAGAGACCCACACACCTGTATGCCAGACAGAGTGCTATGCGGGCCTGCTTCGTAGGGTCAGAGCATTGACAACAAGGATTTTGTTTAAAATCCTAAGATAAAGAAAAAGGCCAGTGGGGTTATAAATTAGTAAGGGCGTAACGTTTAATTGAATTTTATTATAAATTAACAACAATGGAGTTGAATTTGTTGGCGCTAGGATAGAGAAATGACTCACAGAGCGCACAGCAGTCATCAGGGAACTTTGTCAGCCCAGAGCCCGCAGACCACGATCTCCACCCACTTGCCCAAGACGCGTGGGCTCACCGAGCCTGGAACCGATAGGATTTTTTCCCTCTGCAGATACAATGGCTCGAATCATGGCAGAACAAGAAGTGGAAAATCTCTCAGGCCTTTCCACTAACCCTGAAAAAGATATATTTGTGGTGCGGGAAAATGGGACGACATGTCTCATGGCAGAGTTTGCAGCCAAATTTATTGTCCCTTATGATGTGTGGGCCAGCAATTATGTTGATGTAAGGAACCTTTTCCCTCCCAGCTTGCTCCTAGGGCTCCAGGGGCGAAGGGCACCCACCCTCGAAGCCCTATGAAGACCTGGGTCGCCCACCTTCCTCCCTGAGCCCCTGCAGGCTGCTCCTGAATGCTGCATGGGGGTTCCGGCTTGTAACGCCTTCTGCTCGCTCTGCCTGCTTTGAAAGTAACCCCCCTCTCCGCTTCCCTAACGGCGGGGTCTGCACGCACAGCACCTAACCGCATGTTCCCGGACCTGGGAGCGCGCGCGCGCGCAAAGGAGCGCCCAGGCGTGCAACCCGGAGTTTGGACGCGCCGCCCTTTACAGCCCCCTCAGGGCCGGGTGCGCTGAGGGGGTGCGGGGCATCTGTGTTCCCAGCTGATCACGGAACAGGCTGATATCTCACTGACCCGGGGAGCTGAGGTGAAGGGCCGCTGTGGCCACAACGAATCGGAGCTGCAGGTGTTCTGGGTGGATCGCGCATACACGCTCAAAATGCTGTTTGTAAAGGTAACTCTGAGCAGAGGGGGCGCAGACTCCCGAGAGGGTGTGGGCAGGGGCCGCCCTTCGGTTTCTCCACACAGAAGTCGCAGGGGCAGTTGATGCACTCCTCCCCCACTCGGCAGGAAAGTCACAATACGTCCAAGGGACTCGAGGCGACGTGGAGGCTGAGCAAAGTCCAGTTTGTCTACGACTCCTCCGAGAAGACCCATTTTAAAGACGCAGTCAGTGGTGAGTAGAGGTCAACAGACCTGGGGAGTGAGCTTAGGAAAGTGTGGACACTCTAGTAGCGCAGGTGTGGAAAGTGAATTCCTCAAGAAATTAGGAAGTGTTCTGGAAACCGATCATGGCTTTGAGCTCCCAGGCCAAATCCTTCCTGGCTTGTTCTCCAAGACAGAGGAATGGAACAGTCAGTGGGTCCTCTGGACCTCTGGCCTTGTAGATGCTCAAGAAACCCCGGCCAGAATCAGCCAGCCGCTGGTAGTCTGATGCCAGATGAGATGTCTCCTGTGAGGGGCTGACTTCCCCTGGCAGCTTCAGGATAACCTCTTGTGATTTGTCCTTTAGGGAGGCACAGAGAAGAACAAAGCTGTGTATATTTTTTCTGCTCCTGTTTTTTGTTTGTTTGTTTGTTTTCATGTGCTAAAACTTGAAGGGCGGCAGAATGACTTTCCTTTTTGGTCAGGACCTGATGGCCTCAGTATCTTTTCGCGCATGGCAGCAGGTCCCGCACGCCATCTTCAGTCATCCACTGCAGTCACCCGAGCACATTCTAAACCGTGGCCTAATTATTCGCTTTTTCTACCCATCATTCCCACATCTCACCCAGATTCCCCAAAAATATCATGGCCAGAGGAATGGTCATTCCCCAAATAACAATGTTTGTGTTTGTAGACACTGTCGAAGACCACATTTAAATTTATTTATTTATTTTGTAAATTGTCAAGTCTGCTCATGATGAGGCCTTCGATCACCTGAACACCTGAGTTGGGAAAAGACATTAAGCCCATGAAAGATGGCATGTCATTTTTTGTTTACACCCTTTTAACATCACAGCAAAAAACAAGTGCTTTCTTATCTTCATCAGAATTCATATTCAAGCATTTTCCTGGTTAAATTAGGGCCCCTTTCCCTACAAACAAAAGGAAAAGAGGGTAAGGGGTCAGGAAACAAAGGAGGCCAGTAAAGGAGGAAAAGGAAGTAGGTCTCCAGGGGTATATATGCGTGTGCCAGGCTATGTGTCCAGGGCATCAGAAATCAGACATGCTTTGAGAAAGGTATTTTATTCTTTGGGGACCAGTGTGAAATATAAGAAACCAACTCCCTGTTATGTGTCTTTGGGATCTCTGTTGTAAGGTTTTACAGAGTAAACAAGGTTTTTAGGTATCATGCTCCTCTTCTAAGAAGAAATTCTGAAATTTCCACAAATTCCATATTAATGTTTAAGGAGCTCCTGCTCATGAAGGAATGGGTGTGTTTGTTCTTTGACACCACCTGATGCCACAGGAAGAGCCTCAGCCCTGGCAAGGTGACACTGGAGGGGAGTTTGGAGCTGAGAGGCAAGAGCCAACTCTGGCTGGGGAGGTTGGTAGGAGCAAGGGGGTTCTGCCAGTGAGAGGGGCCTAACTATTGCTTTGGGTCTTCCCTGCAGCTGGGAAGCACACGGCAAACTCACATCACCTCTCAGCCTTGGTCACCCCAGCTGGAAAGTCCTATGAGTGTCAAGCTCAGCAGACCATTTCACTAGCCTCCAGCGATCCTCAGAAGACAGTCACCATGATCCTGTCTGCAGTCCATATCCAGCCCTTTGACATCATCTCTGATTTTGTCTTCAGTGAAGGTAGGTTGGCGGGGGTGGTGGTGGGAGAAGAAAGGGAGGAGGGAAGGGAAGGCTGACTTCAGGATGAATGCGGAGAGGGATCTGCCAGGGTCCCAGGCTGCTGCCACTTGTTTTTCATAGGCTGGATTTCTCTAGGCTGACATGACACTACTTCCTTCTGTAATATTTTTCAAAGAATAAAGGCAGTTAACTGAATTGTATCAGCTTTCTTAAATGGCTCTTTTTCTTCCTTCCCTCTCTCCTATCCTCCTTCACTTTATTCTTCTCACACTTCCTTTATTTCTTCATCTTTCCCTACCTCTCTTCCTTTGCCAAAAGAAGACCTTGATAGGGAGAGAGGTAAGAAAGTCAATGCAAATCTCCCAATCAAAAAGCAGCTAAAAATTTCATGTAGTTATATAGAAAGCCATTGATTGGAGAAGAGCCTTTGTTTCTTCTGTGGGCCTCAGTTTCTCCATGTTCTTTCAGATACTTGCAGCTGTAGGTTTTTACCACCGTGAGTCCAAATTTTTTTGTGGCTAGAATACAATAGGAGTGTCTGTCTGTCTGTATGTATGTATGTGGATCATGTGACGATCTCAGAGAGAATTTTATGAAGACCTGCCTCCATCCATCACTCACCTTATAGGAGGGATACCCACAAAACTCCAGGGTGGCATAGGTCCCTGATCTTCTCCCTCTGGGTTGTAGAAGATGTGCTTCTTCTCAGTCTGTGCTAGCTTCTGAAAGGGGTTCAGGCAGATTCAGAGCATCCACATTCTCTTGATTCTCTGCCTCCCAGCAGAGATAGGGCATGTCCACCTTTCTGCAATTTATCCAAGTCTAGCAATGATTTACACTCGGCAAATGTAGGGAAAGGGAGTTATTCAATTCATTTGTTGTCTCTCTCTTGTCTGGGGGAAGTTGTCAAAGACAGTTGCATATTTGTTTTATTCCTCATGGCTAAAAAGATGGGGAGATATTCTGATTCTTTATGGATGCCTTTATTTGGGCTAGGGCTCCGCAGGTGAATACAGCTATTCCTATGTGCAGGATATTAGGGTGTCTCCATCTATGTCACACATAAATCATTGTCATTGCCCAAGGAATCGAGGTTTCATAAAATGCCCCTCCCACTCAAACTATACTGAATAGATCTACCTCCCCCACCACCACATGATTATTCAGAAGGCATTTGAGAGTTCCTATGTCCTTGATGGTTAGCTTCTTTTTCATCCTTGTATTTTTAGCACCTAATACCATGCTTGGCATATTGCAACTGTCCAGTTACCTTTGGCTGAACTGATATTCTGAAGCTGTGCACTCAATTAATAGAGACTTCTAAATGCCTCAGCACCAGATGAATTAGAATTTAATTGATTTAGTAAAGCAGGACCACACTGAATTGTTTTTGTAGAAGGAGGGACTATTCCATTTTAATGTATTTTCTATGAAATTGAAACTAAATTCTGTGTCAAGACCTTAGCATTTTTAATAACCTGTTTTTTAAACAAAATATTCATAAATGTAATAGTGTCTTTCTTAAACTGAAAATCTTAAATATACTTATAACTGGATTTGTGATTATTGGTGACCAATAGTTTTGTATGAAAATATTGGTGTGTGTGGTGTCAGTCCCCAGTGTCCCTACTGTAGATGCTTTTGAGTTTACATGGGTCCTTTCAGTAGTCTCAAGTGCCGTTTTGATTTTTGCTGGTCAGCTGTTCTTTGGCCCTTCTTTACCTCTCGATCCTACTAGCACTGTAATTGCTGCTTTTACTAGTTTCTTATCACAACCTTGCCCTAATCCACTTAATTATTTCTAAGCGGTTGCTTATAGTTGTTCATGGACTGAGAAATCGAATCTCATGGATGTTTAGAATTGTGTACAAAGTAAGAGTAAATGAATTCTGAATAAGAACCAGAGTGACTTTCCTAAAAATTATTGAAGTTCATGGCATGGAAATAACATCTTTTGTTTGTAAAGCGGTTTTTTTAATCCACTTCCAGATCCTAGACAGGCACAATAGATTTAGAGAGTTTGTAACGATGTGTAACTTCCTAAATGCAGACATATTAAGCAGAAGCAAATTGCACCTGTCTCACCCAGGTTTTCCTGGGTAATAATTAGGATGTTCCCTTCTGTACAGCACCCTGGAGTTTCAGCCTTGATACTCCAGGGAGGAGGAAGTCCATTCAGAGTCACTCACTGGATCCAAGTGCCTTTGTGTGGTAGGGATTCTTTTGTTCCTGGCTCCTCCTGTCTGAGCCTCTTGGCCCTGCCCCACACTGTTTTGTAAGAGACCATTTTATTTGATTTGGTGGAATTCAAAAGATTTCTTTTGCCCCCCCATTCCCCATAATAAACACTCAGGAGGCTCTGGATGTGTTGAAATGCCTGTGTGGGTGTGAGTGGAGTGTGTTTGCGCGGGTGTGTGTATGTTGGGGAGTGTCTGGTCATATATCTATATGCCTGGGTGTATACATGCAGTTGGTCATGTGTGTGCCTGAGCCACAGTATCAGGGTTTCTAATGAAGAATTCCCTGTATAAAGGGGTCATACCTGGCAGCCTGCAGTTTCACATCTGCCTACTTTATAGACTGAGAAAAACAAGAAGAGTCAGTGAAGTGTATTAGTGGACACTCAGTTCAAATGGGGGTTGACATCTTTGTCACACAAATTCCTTTAGAGCATTGAGCTTGGTTACTACACTAATCCACAGCAAAAGTCTCTTAGCCTAGCATGTCTCCAACTGCAGTGTGCACACAAATCTTCTGCAGCGGTGTGTACAACTGCAGTGATCTGGTTAACATACAGAGTCTGGTTCAGTAGGTCTTCAGGCAGGGCCCAACGTGCTCCATTTCTAGCAAGCTCCTGGTGATACTCCTGGTGGTGCTTCTGGTCTGTGGAATACTGTGGAGGTGGGGTGGGAGGTGAGGGGTTTTGAGCTTAGCAAGGAGAAGTTATGGCCATGAGAGGCAGTAACACACAAACTTTATCGCATGGTGCTTGGACAGGGTTGCATGAAAGGGAAACCCCTCAGAGCATGGGACTGTGCAGAGGGCAGCCCCTCATGGACCACCATCCAGAAGGAAGGAGAACAGTGGGCCTCCTGGAGGAAGAGGAGTATTGAGAGAGGGCTTATGTGCCTACATGGTATGTGTCACTCAGCAGCACTGTGAGGAACCTCTGGGTCAGAGAGCTCTGAGGGGCAGCAAAGAGGCTACAGGCCTATAACTACAGGGACCTATTTTATCAATGGGTGACAGCTGTTGGTTGAGGTTTGTTATGCAAAGCAGATAGGCTCTAAATGACTAAAATCTGCTTGTTTGGACTGTTATAAAAATAATTGGATGTGTAAAATTTGAGCTTGGCGCCGGAGGGCTTTGCAGCTAATGGGTCTCAGTCTTCAGTGGGAAAATAAAGCACCTAGGAGCCAATACACAGAGGCTATGTTGGCTCATTTCCATAACAAATACACCTTGTGTGTCATCTACCAGCCTGTACTCCAAGGCACCCCTTGTTTCTCAGTTGGGTTGGATTAACTTGCCCTCCCACAGTTAATTCCTTGTGTGTCCCTTGGAGGGCCCCAGAGATTTCTGTCTGTAATGGGGTGGGGGGTGTGGCCCTGGAAGAAACAGATCAGTCTAAGTAGTGTAATGGCTTGAACTGAAGGCAACTTTTATGCATAATGACAAAAGAAGCATGGCAGAACATGAGGGGGCCTCTGTTCCTCTTTATTAGAGACTCAGGTTTAACAGGCATTTAGAAGTTACTACATAGGCGGGTCCCTTTTTAACTCTCAAGAACGACAAACAAACACAGCAACCTGTGAAGAAGGTCCTGAGATCCCTGCTTACAGTGGAGAATCCGAGGCTCAGAGAAGTGCAGTTACTGGTGGTGAAGGCTGCACTCCTACTGGCTGCCAGGGCTGGGCCCAGAACCTGTCGTTGGGTATCAGATCCTGTGCTCTTAGCCTCTCAGAGCCTCAGCTGCTTCTGCTGAGCAACTGTAATCAATATGTGGATGCAGGAGGCACCCTTAAAAAGATTGCTGGGTACGCTGAACTCATGAACTTTTTATCATTGCTGTGAACAGAGTGATTGGGAGATGCCACCTGATCTGTATTTTATCCAGAACTGTGGGAAAAACGATTTGTGTCCTAGAGGAAATGAATGTGCCTTGCTGTTCTCTGTACACCACCCTCAGGAGGTGCCCTGTGTTTAGCTGTCATGCCACATGCAGGCAGGGTTTGCTGATGCTGATCCAAAGGGATATGTAGACCTGTGATTTAATTGGCACCTGCCAGTCAGGAAACATGCCACCCTGGGTAGTTGCTCTTCAGGGCCTCTTATACAAGCATCCAGAAGGAGATAATTCTGTTATTAAAACTGCTGAGAACTGTGTTGAAGGTACAATATGGAGCCCCAGCGTAGGGCCATGTCGCTGGGCAATCTTAGAATTCTGTGTTCCCAGTACTGTCCTGGAACATAGTGTTTCTGTTTGGGTTCCCCAGAAGCATATGCTTAGAGTGTATATAAGTGCAAGTAGTTTATTTACAAGGCTGTTCTAGAAAGCCTTGGTAGGGGATTGGGGGAGTGAGATAGGAAGGCAAGACAGTCAGCACAGGTGCATTAATGAGCAAGATGCTACTATGGGCACTTGTGGTCACACTGCTGGAACCTCTGAGTCTCTGGGAGAGTCTATAAAACCCTCCTTGATTATCCCACCTGAGGTGGGGTGGGGGAGGGGTAGCATTTACCTGCCAACTCCCATCCACTCAGATTAGGTGGCATCTACAAGTCATGCTATTAGGAATATTAGAAGCCACGATTAAATGCTAATGAATTCAGGGTACCCAACAACCTTTCCAGTGGTTGCTGAGGTGGAGGGACAGGTATTGACTCTGGGATGTCTAACTTGCCTGGCAGACAACATCCATGGGACTGTGTGGCCATGGTGATTGTCAAGGGAACAAGGCATTGTTCATGTCTGCTACACCTGGGTACTGGGAGATAAA